CAAAGCACTGGAAGCAGGAAATATGGAGATGGGTCAAAGCACTGGAAGCAGGAAATACAGTACAGTGATGGGTCAAAGCACTGGAAGCAGGAAATACGGAGATAGGTCAAAGCACTGGAAGCAGGAAATACAGTACAGTGATGGGTCAAAGCACTGGAAGCAGGAAATACGGAGATAGGTCAAAGCACTGGAAGCAGGAAATACGGAGATAGGTCAAAGCACTGGAAGCAGGAAATACGGAGATTGGTCAAAGCACTGGAAGCAGGAAATACAGAGATAGGTCAAAGCACTGGAAGCAGGAAATACAGTGATGGGTCAAAGCACTGGAAGCAGGAAATACGGAGATGGGTCAAAGCACTGGAAGCAGGAAATACGGAGATGGGTCAAAGCACTGGAAGCAGGAAATACAGAGATAGGTCAAAGCACTGGAAGCAGGAAATACGGAGATAGGTCAAAGCACTGGAAGCAGGAAATACGGAGATAGGTCAAAGCACTGGAAGCAGGAAATACGGAGATAGGTCAAAGCACTGGAAGCATGAAATACGGAGATAGGTCAAAGCACTGGAAGCATGAAATACGGAGATAGGTCAAAGCACTGGAAGCAGGAAATACGGAGATAGGTCAAAGCACTGGAAGCAGGAAATATGGAGATAGGTCAAAGCACTGGAAGCAGGAAATACGGAGATAGGTCAAAGCACTGGAAGCAGGAAATACGGAGATAGGTCAAAGCACTGGAAGCAGGAAATACAGTGATGGGTCAAAGCACTGGAAGCAGGAAATACGGAGATGGGTCAAAGCACTGGAAGCATGAAATACAGTGATGGGTCAACGCACTGGAAGCAGGAAATACGGAGATAGGTCAAAGCACTGGAAGCAGGAAATACAGTGATAGGTCAAAGCACTAGAAAAAGGAAATACAGTACAGTGATGGGTCAAAGCACTGGAAGGAGGAAATACACAACTCCTCCCGCGGTCACCAATGATGTGGCACAACTCCTCCCACGGTCACCAATGACGGGGCATTATTCCTCCTCCCGCGGACGCTAGGCCATTTTTTATGCTGACTGACCACCAATCCTGGCACATTGTTATCCCGCTCTTGCTTACTCCCACTGACGTCAGAGCATTTTCTATTCCCACTGGCCACAGTCTGCCCCCCAAAAAGTATGAAGAACAGTGAACTGGCCCTTTCTTTAAAAAAATTTAAGGACCCCTGTTACATATCGTCATTACATGGGTGGGTCCTGAGATGTGCTTACCATGCATTTACACTGACGTAAAGTGGAACTGCACTGCATCTGAGCACCACAAACCAAACATTCTTTTTAATTCATTGTTAATATGTAAAGCAAACTCACCCATCCATCCATGTCTCCATGCTTTATTTTGCTGAAAAATCACCCCCTGGCATTTCTGGCAGCAGCCAACTTGAGTAAGGGCAGATGCTTCATGCAGCATTTCCGAGAATGCATCTGCCCTTAGCTCAGGCATTGGCTGAGCTGAGAACCCTGCCTCCCCCCCAAAAGAATGCTGGGATGTATGACATAATTTGCCTAGGCACGGAAACCAGAAAGCAACTGCAGAAATGTAAAAAAAAAAAAAAAAAAAAATTAAAAAATGATATACTTTCCTATCCATATACTAATGCTAGAAGCATGAGGATTAAAAATAGTCCATGTTGATTTTCTTTAAAATGGAAGAAATGGATTTAACTGATCTCAAAAGCCTAGGTATACAAGCTAAAATATACCTGCTTTGAAGTATTCCAAGTGTATGGGTACAAGTCTTGCACAATGGAACAAGCTTTATGTAAACAGAGCAAACGCCAAATGACAGAGGCAGCAAAGACTTTGGGTGTAGCCTCACCGGGCAGAATGCTGTAGTAGTCCATTAAGTAGAAGATGTAGCAAATAGATGAGATTGGAGAAGTCAATCTAATCTTTACTGGCTAGGCTACTGTTGCCATGTTTGCTGCGCTACCAGCCTAGTTACAGCTAATACCTTTGATTAACCTGTCAAAATTTGTAAAGACAAGCTGAAAAAAAATATAAAATACAGTAAGGTGTTATTATGGCCAATGCAAATGCTGACACTATGGAAAACAACAATGATTTAATGAGGTTATACAAGCACTGTTGGAACACTGACCATGATATGTGTATGTATGAATGTGAGTTAGGGACCTTAGACTGTACGCTCCTTGAGGGTTAGGGACTGATGTGAATGTACAATATATATATGTAAAGCTCTGCGTAAACTGACGGCGCTATATAAGTACCTGAAATACATTTTACGGACACCATAAAGGTCAGTTAACACCAGAACGCAGTGCAGAAAACGCGTGTTTCATGCATGTTTCCCACACCGCGTTCAGAATGCACTGCCCTTGCGATTTGTGGTGTCAGTGCAATGCGAACAACACCCCAAACAGGTCGTAAACGCACTGCATACAGGTGCAGTACCATGCAATCCAGTTGCGCTGCGTTTTGTAAAAGAAGCTCATGCACTACATTTGCTGCAGTCCAACACAATTTCAGCCCAATTTCAAAATGGTCGGTCTGAAATCGCAGTGCACCTGGATTGCCCGTGAATCACACAGCGTGTTTCTGTATGACTCGTGATTTGAACCAGCCCTCAAAAATGATAAGAGCAAGTAAATGTGGTTGCTTGTATTTATTCTCTAACCACGCTGATTCCTGACACAAATCAGCCCCTGTTGCAGCCTCTCACCTTGTTACTTGCTACGTAGTTACACGGTTGCAGCTTGATCACGGGAGGGATTCAGCTGAGGAAATGCTTCCATTTGCCTGCAGCAGACTGATTACATCTTTTAGGTCTAGAAAAAGATACTTGCCCCCAAGCTCAAGGACTGCTTTTTAGGGTTTGGAGGATAGTTCTTGTACATCTCAGAAAAGGATGTTTGTTTATGAACATAGAAGACTGTTAAAAATCAATGAGATACTGACAGACGCAGCGGCTGTACAGATCTTTACCCCCGGTTCACATCTGTGAGTGGTGCCGCTGCGGATCCACATGAAAATCTGTGCACCAGAGAAATGCGGACCCGCGGGTGGGTAGCATTAGTTCTAATAGCACGCCGCCTGCACTGGAAAACACAACTGTACTGGGAACCGAGGTCCCCGTGCGGACTGCACACACAGCCGCATATATGTGAACCGGGGGTCACACACATCCAAGCGCATACTTGCATACAGGGAGAAATAAATGGCCCTGGACACAATGGGGTTTATTTACTGAAGCTGGTTCACTCAGAATCTCGTTCACCTGTGCATGGTAATCAGTTTCTAGCCTCAGCTTGTTCAATTAAGCTTTTGCAATAAAACCTGGAAGTTGATTGATTTCCATGCAAAAGTAAATGAGATTCTGAGAGAACCAGCTTTAGTAAATAAACCCCAATCTGTCTGCATCCAAATCTACCAACACAAATACACACTTGGGCTGGCCATACATTATACAATTTTCTTGAGAATTTTGCTTTAGATTTACAAAAAACATATAATAACCATCCAACCTAACAACACTTTCAGTTGTATCCAATTAAGCAGGCCCTTGCACTACATCGTTGAAGGTAAATCTAACCCCCGGTTCACATACATGTAGCCGTGCGGGCCGTGTTTGGCACGGGCACGAGAGCCCATTCATTTGGGTGGACTCCTGTGCACGTGACACGCAGGGAAAGAAGTCCCTGCACTACTTTGGAAAATGCAACCCGCATGGGAACCTCGGTTCCCAGTACGGTTGCGTTTTCCAGTGCGGGCGGCGTGCCATTAAAACTAGTGGAATCCGTCTGCGGGTCCGCATTTGTGCGGCTGCATGGATTTTTGTGCGGATCCGCAGCGGCACCACCCGCATAGATGTGAACCAGGGGTAAAGGAAATTGGCAGACATTGGACAGCAAATTGTATAGTGTATGGCCAGCCTTGGATGTACCTAAAAATCATACTGCCGCTGTGCCTGTCAGACTCTCAACAATTTAACTGGCTTTTGGGTGTGGCTGAGCATAACTCTGGCGCTTAAACTCCTGTTTACAGACGTAAGGGTTTATGCACCTATGTAAACTTAATGAAACAAAGAAGCACTCAAAAAATTAGCCTGTTGCTGTATCTGGGGGACAGGTCAGGAATTCATTTATACAGACTGGAAAAGTTACTGAAAGGTTCACTTTAAGGGTCCTTTTACACGGGAGTTCCGTTTTGTTTCTTCAGTTCAGTCACATTTTTTCAAAGAAAAAACGGATTAGTTTACATCTGTTTTTCATCCATGTACATTGGTTTACATCCGTTTTTCATCCGATCCAGGTTTTTTTTTTGCGGAAGAAAAATAGGGTTTTCTTCCGTTCAAAAAAAATGGATGCGGACATTAACGGATGTAAAAAGATGTTTATCCGTCCATAGAAATACATGTGGGTCCGTTTTTCATCCGTATACGTACAGATGAAAAAAACGGACATACGGAACGCCCGTGTGAAAGGGGCCTAAGAGCTGCACTTCCCAAACCTACAGGTTGGGTGCTGCCCCATCCATTGGTCCCCTGCCAAGCAAGCGCATAGTTATTGCCCATTGTGACATTCATTCCACAGAGTGACAAAAACATAAGCAGGTGGATGGTGCTTGCAGTCAAGTCCTGAAAGCTTAACAACTCACTAAAACTAGAGTGGTGCATATAGAAGAGGCTTTTGGGGCTAATAAAGGAAATTCTTAGGTAACGCTTTATGCATGTGTTATACAGCATTTAGTATTAAAAGATACAACGAGAAACACTTGTGATCTAGAGAACATATTTACAGAATGCCAATAAAATAGGAAAGCAATGCATAGTCTGAAAAGACAAAACTGATTAAATGAATAACTATAACCATTCATTTTCCCATTCCCTTTAGTCAGAGTGAAAGATAAGCCAATTAGCAGACGACTCTAAAAACCCTGGAAATGTTGTCTCCGCATCCCCCCATTATATCATGCTTAAAGTGTTACTAAACCCCGGACCCTGCATTCACTACATCCGGTCTCCCCGGACCCCGCATTCACTACATCCGGTCTCCCCGGACCCCGCATTCACTACATCCGGTCTCCCCGGACCCGGCATTCACTACATCCGGTCTCCCCGGACCCGGCATTCACTACATCCGGTCTCCCCGGACCCTGCATTCACTACATCCGGTCTCCCCGGACTCTGCATTCACTACATCCGGTCTCCCCGGACCCGGCATTCACTACATCCGGTCTCCCCGGACCCGGCATTCACTACATCCGGTCTCCCCGGACCCGGCATTCACTACATCCGGTCTCCCCGGACCCCGCATTCACTACATCCGGTCTCCCCGGACCCCGCATTCACTACATCCGGTCTCCCCGGACCCCGCATTCACTACATCCGGTCTCCCCGGACCCCGCATTCACTACATCCGGTCTCCCCGGACCCCGCATTCACTACATCCGGTCTCCCCGGACCCAGCATTCACTACATCCGGTCTCCCCGGACCCAGCATTCACTACATCCGGTCTCCCCGGACCCAGCAGCATTCACTACATCCGGTCTCCCCGGACCCAGCATTCACTACATCCGGTCTCCCCGGACCCAGCATTCACTACATCCGGTCTCCCCGGACCCAGCATTCACTACATCCGGTCTCCCCGGACCCAGCATTCACTACATCCGGTCTCCCCGGACCCAGCATTCACTACATCCGGTCTCCCCGGACCCAGCATTCACTACATCCGGTCTCCCCGGACCCTGCATTCACTACATCCGGTCTCCCCGGACCCTGCATTCACTATATCCGGTCTCCCCGGACCCTGCATTCACTACATCCGGTCTCCCCGGACCCTGCATTCACTACATCTGATCTCCCAAAGTACACAGAAATGAAATTATTGTAGTAAATATAAACTGGCAAATACTTTTTCTTATCAGCAGTATATATTAGTCTTGTGACTTCTAGTGTCCAGCAGAGCACTGGTTAAAGCTTGTACAAGGAGTTTTCATTCTCCCCTGACTGTCCTATGAGGCTGCATAACCCCTGACCCTCTGTCTGGACAGTGCCGATTGGTCCTGTGCTGATCACATGCGTCTCCCAAGAAACAAAAACACTCGAGCAAAACACACAAAAACGAGCATGTGCAGCTTACCCCCAAGGCTCTGTTCTATCAGTAGATGGATTGGGGACAGTAGAAGAAGGGGAGGATCACAGAAGACAGGATCAAACATCTTTTTTACACAATGCAGAGGATTAACCCCTTAGGTTCTACAGTGAGTATAACATGCATGCCTTACTGTTTAGTAACATTTTAATGACATCGCAGCTGACAAGGACCTGAAAAGGTAAAGTTCCCAGTGCATCATTAGAACTAAGCATTTACTCCCAACTCAGCTTAGCTCCGATATGCAGGAATGGGGACACCAATGTTACTTTTACTTAAAGTGTCATTAAACCCACATCATTAAAAACTAAAAATTTGTATTACATGCTGTCCATAGTCACTATAGGATTCATTTTCTGTATTCTGCAAAAACCTGGCTGATCCTGCTGTTCATTAGATACAAAGCTGACATCGGATTAAAGCTGAACTCCAGGTTCAAAGTTTATTGAATGTGTACAAAAGGTGCTCTTACTTTTAACAAAATTCTTCTTGGTACATGCATAGGTATCCAAGGCTGTAAGAAACCCATCCTTTTAAAGATGTCCCCTAACATCTGTTTCAGGAGACCGGTGCCCTCTATTACCCTGTGTCTTGTAACTTCCCTAGTGTAGTTTTCTTCACAGCTAATGGTGACAATTGCATTACTAGCTGTACTGGGGGGACCTGGGAGTCACACCTCCCATACCCACCTCTCCTTCTTGCCATTTACAACTACATTTTCCATTGCATGACGGGAGTTGGTTCATTATCGCACCGCACAAAAGTCAGATTCGGCATATCTGCCTCCATGCTTCCTCCTCTGGGCCACAGCTGCATTTTCTTCAATAGGAGAGATGTTGTTACAGGTTTTTCTAGAGTAATTTTTTTACTAGGCAGTATAGTTTTACTGTAAGTCATTAGAAGCCCCATAATGTACACATTTCACCACGGAGACAGTTTTCATGAATCCCAGAGTTCAGCTTTAAAGCCCAACTCCAGGCAAATAAAATGATGCCTTGCAATGGGACTGCACCCGCACTGGAAGGGTTAATAGCTGCTTCTATCTAGGAGGAGAGGAGAAACCGTTTTAGTCACCTGATCCTCCGTTCCCCAGGCTAGCATTCCCCCCCCAATCTTGGAATGGACTGTTCCTTGACATCCTATGATCCCTGCTTTGGTCTTGCTGACAAGACCCTAGACCTGTGGGGCAAACACTGTAGGAAACATTCTAGCTGCAGGGAGGAGTAAATCGCCTTTTAATTTTTTGCCCCCGGAATATACAAGCAATTAACACTTGCAGTGTGGGCACAGTATGATGATCCGTTGTTTGCCCAGAATTGGGCTTTAACCACTTCCAAGTCCAGACACTTTCACCCCCTTCCAGGCCAATTTTCAGCTTTCAGTGCTATCACACTTTGAATGACAATTGCGCGGTCATGCAACACTGTATCCATATCAATTTATTAGCATTTTTTTTTAGACAGATAAAAAAAAACTTTATTTTGGTGGTATTTATTCATCACTGGGATTTTTTTTTTTTTTGCTATATAAATGAAAAAAGACCAAAAATTTTGAAACATTTTGTGTTTTTCTTATAACATTTTGCAAATAAAGAATCTTTCTTCATATATCTTTGCCAAAATTTATTCGGTTATCTTTTTAGTAATAAAAAAAAAAAAAAAAAAAAAAAAAAACACAACAACCCAAATTTATAACCCAGTTTATAACCAAAAACTTTTTTTTACTTTTCTTTTATATTTTTGTATATTATGTTTTTTTAACATACTGTCATCCTAGCAGTACAGTGTCACCATAGTGACACTGTACTACTTGTGGGGGGTGATACAGATTTTTTTTAACACGGATTGCTTTTACTGCCTTTATGGGTATAAAAGCAATCATTTCTCCTTCTCTCTGACTGCATTCTTGCAGCCATTGAGAAATATTGTGAGAGCTGTGATTGGTCACAGCTTGTCACATGGTACAAGGCTGTTGTGAATAGCCCTGTACCATGCGACCTCTGTGATCATTCACAGATTTCACACGTAGTAAGCAATGATGTCAGAAGGGACTGCTTGCTTACTACTATTCATGTGATCATTGATTGACCAATCAGTGATCACATGATCGGGGCCTCACACAGAGGTCCCATACAGCAATCGGTGTCCAGACCAGGGGCGGACTGACAACTCATGGGGCCCCCAGGCAATAGGGGATCATGGGGCCCCTGTGTCCTTGCCCAAACTCAAAAAAGCCTATGAAAAAGATACCAGGGGCATCTCATGGGGCAAGAACAAAAAGAGGGCGCACAGGCCTAGTGCATTACCATAAAAAATGTTTAATAAAAAATAAAGTAGGTGTTGTACTCACAAACGACAATATAGTCAAGGCACATCATAGAAGAACAGCTGGATCAACACCGCGCTGAGTAACAGTCCACAATAGGGAGTTTAGACATCCAAAAGGCTGACGCGTTTCGAGGACTTGCCTCTTCCTCAGAGCCCTCATCTCATGGGGCCCCCTACTGACCCTGGGTTCCCAAATGGTCAGTCCGCCCCTGGTCCAGACAAAGCGGGCGCGGGATCGCGGTGCTGCGCACTGCCAGGGAGCATGCACAGCTTGAAAATGCGGGCGCCGTTTATGAACGGCAACCTGCTCCTGCACTGCTCCGGTCCGGCCGTTTATGTACATGGGCTGGACGGGAAGTGATTGTTTTTTTAATAGGTTTTGTGACACTTTAAATCCTCTACATGTGTCTTTCCATGAAACAATATGAGGACCTAATAATCTGCCATTTCCTCATGGGAAACATTGTTGCTTGAAGCTGCACTGAGGCCATGTCATATGGCCATACCATTAGTAAAAAATCCTTTGCAGTTGCTCTTTAATTGTAAAATAAAAAAATACAAGTCAGTGGAAATACAAATACAAGTGAACATAGCAACCTACATATTAGGCAGCGTACAAATCATCTAAATTTACAACACTGAGTCACCGAGCAAGCATGCGAGTCACACCTAGACTGTGCGGGCATATCGAGGTGCTGATTACATTAGCGTTCATTCATCCACCAAAATACACAGCCAGGTAGAAGCTTTGCAGAACACTCACCTACACTGATTTCCTTCAATGTCTTTGGTAGCTGCAGCTTCCAATTCTCTGCAAACGAAATTCTATGTTAGTCAAACGATGACATAACCGGCATGAGTAATTCACCACAAACAAAACACAAACACATGTTATGCAACACACAAATCTTTGTGAAAATTATTAGAAATCCCAGAAATATAAAAAGGCTATACAGAGGCCGCGTGAAATTGGACCGTCTCCACCAAAGACACACCCTGCAGCAGACGTGGTCGTCATGCTGCTGTGTAGACCCAGAACTACAAGTCCCAGCACAACCCAGGATAGATTACCAGAGCATGTAGAGGAGTGCAATACCACAGTATGGGAGAAATTATGTCTGTGCTTACTTAACTTTCTTCTTGACTTTCATTTTCTTCTCAATGCAAAGACGTACTGTTCGACTGCCTGGCTTTTCTCCAAAGTGGCCCTAGACAGTGTGCATCAGTATGACTGTAACAGGAACATTAGATTGTAAGCTCCTCTGCACCATCTACAAATGACATGCTCTGAAATGTCTCAGCACCCTATAAATAACAACAATGACATACATGCCCAGGTACATCCCTTGCTACAATTATAGACAATTGCAGTTTTTTTTTTTTTTCTTGTTTTTTTTTTTACAGGCTACACTGCCATAATAAGCAGACAAGACCCAAGAGGGAAGCCTGACAACAACAAACTACCCAGATGGATTGAACACCAATAATAATAATAATTACATGGAGGTGTCATTGCCTTGTGCAGCTCATCTCCCACTAAATCAAGGAGACAGAGTTCAAGACCAACCAGAGACTTGCAGGTTTATGAGGCATTACATTTTCAATTCATAAACATAACATGATAGCAATAAGAACTAAAAACATTACAACAACATTTCACTACAATACATAGATCCTGGAGAACGATTATAAATGATGGTCACATGGAGAAGAATCCAAATTCGTTTGTTTAATTAATACATATATACACATACATACAAAAACACACATCACCACAAGTGTAACTGAAAAACTGTGTCTGAGTTATATAAACAAATTGATACAAAAGAAGGAGGCAAGGAGATGAGAGAAGGAGGCAAGGAGATGAGAGAAGGAGGCAAGGAGAGGAGAGAAGGAGGCAAGGAGATGAGAGAAGGAGGCAAGGAGATGAGAGAAGGAGGCAAGGAGATGAGAGAAGGAGGCGAGGAGAGGAGAGAAGGAGGAGAGGAGAGAAGAGAAGGAGGAGAGAAGGAGGCGAGGAGAGGAGAGAAGGAGGAGAGGAGGGGGCGAGGAGAGAGGAGAGAAGGAGGCGAGGAGAGGAGAGAAGGAGGCGAGGAGAGAAGGAGGCGAGGAGAGGAGAGAAGGAGGCAAGGAGAGGAGAGAAGGAGGCAAGGAGAGGAGAGAAGGAGGCAAGGAGAGGAGAGAAGGAGGCAAGGAGAGGAGAGAAGGAGGCAAGGAGAGGAGAGAAGGAGGCAAGGAGAGGAGAGAAGGAGGCAAGGAGAGGAGAGAAGGAGGCAAGGAGAGGAGAGAAGGAGGCAAGGAGAGGAGGAGGGAGGAGGCAAGGAGAGGAGAGGAGGAGGCAAG